AGGTCAGGGGCACATGTTAAAAAAGCCTGTAGCGCTGTAATGAAACTACGAAAAGTACAAATCTGCTCAATTGTATTTTTTTCCCAAAAAAACTTGTACAGTATTCACCAAAATCCAAGGATTTTCTAGCACGAAATACGCCATTTTTAATGAATTACCATGGCAACCTAATTTTATTTCTTCAAAAGTTAGAGAAAGCAATTTCAGGTCTTTGGTATGGATTCAGGGTAATTCTATGAAAATGAATTACTGATTAAAGACGTCAATCATTCATTTTTACAAAAATTAGATGAACTTGTATCAGCTAAAAACGCTCAAAACACTGATGTTGCAAAAAACTTAATGTAACTCAGACTCCTCGAAAAAATACAATGTAGCAAGAAATGGGTACTTTATATGTTTTTAGCCAAAACAGCGCTAAAAGCCTATCTTTCTTCCCGAAAGACACTCTCAAATAGTCAAAAATAAATGAGTTTTGCGAAGGTGTGATATCTACAGTTTCAAAAATCTCAGGAAAGCCAGGTGAAATTTCCAAAAAAAAAAATCGCATAATTTTCCAAGAAAAAAAAAAGGAGTTTCTGCGGAAAATCCGTCGTCACAAAATTGCGTTTGTTCAATTGCTTGAAAGTTGTTTTTGTGGCATGAAGTATGAGTTGGAGAAGGACTGATAATTTGTGCGCGTAATGGGACGAAAGTGGTTGCGCCGAACAACAATTGTGGATTATTTTCAATGGACAAATTGTTGTGTGTGTGTGTGTGTGTGTGCTTGGAAGTTTTGGGGGTGCCCGTACTGAATAATAATGGCCCTCTAAACGGCTGGAATTAAAGGCTTTGTTGTGGGGCGACAATTCAAAAGATCCATGAAGGACACAGGACCCCTTCCCACCACTACCACCAGTCACGCTAAATGATGCACACTCAACCTAAACAAAAGCACACCGAAATCAGCAACAAACAAATGGAAGGGACTTTTAGCAAAACTCCAAATAGCCTATAGAAAAAAGCACTTCTGATCTGAAACTGCAAAAAATATTTAAAAAAAAAAAAGAAAAAGAAAGACGAGAAATGAAGAAATCGCCGAATCCCAAAACAACATGTCAACAGAAACGTGAAAATCCCCTTAATTCAGTGGTTATTCTATTACTTCAACCAAAACTTACTCCCCCGCGACTGATGGGACTGTAACTTTTCTATGGTTCCTAAGAGCGAAATCGCAACACTCAATGGCAGGATTGCGACGATCTTAAAAATCGTGCTTTCCCTTCCCTTTTTTGAGTTTATCAGATGAAACGCGGTCGATTCTATGATCTGAATGGCCTTTCAGCTCAAAAATCAGAATTCCTGTTTCCCCCGCTCCCTT